TGCGATTACAATAGTGTAGTAACAGCGCAATAATAAAAAAAATTACTCATATTATATTTGCCATATAATTTAAATATTATAACACATAATATTGTTATCGCCGTTTAATTGTCCAACGTTAGTATGTGTGTGTGTGCACTTAATGGCTATAAAGCTATTTTATTGTCCGTCGTCGTTTAGTATGAATATTTAATTTAATTTAATTTTTTTATTATTTCACTTTTTATCACGGCCGAATGCGATTCAAGAGACAATTATTATTATTATTCTTAAAAGATTACCACAACCAAGATGCGCGTTGTGCTGCGTTTGCCTCTGTCTCTCTTCACATGCCGTTCACACGTGTTAATTGTCAACTCTAAATTCTTAAAAAAATATATAAATTCCTCTTTTACCTAACCCTCTCCGTCCGTATTTTTTAAACCATTTTTTTTTTTTTTTTTTTGGTTACCGTTTGATTATCGTCGACAATTCGTTTCGTCCATATTCGGCGGTGTCCGTACACTATAATATAATATAGCTTGGGACACTTCGTATACGCCTCGTTATTTAGCCTCTTATTGTTTAGCCAGAGACAAAAAACAAACAAACAAACAAAAACGTTGTTCCTTCACACAATATCCGACAGTTGGTTTCGACATACCGATGCTACCGTGCTTGGAGGTTCGAGGGGTACTCAGAGATTTTTTTGTGGAAACTTACATTTTTCAAGGTATAATTTGCTGAAAATGTTGAAAACACTGTTTTTAAAAATTAAACACCTGACATATTTTTGTACGTTTTTATTGCACCAACAGCTGTGGTGTGCTTTGTGTGCGTTCCGACTTCTGACCTTGCAATCTATAATCAATTAGTCAAATCGACTTTTGTGTTAACAAAAAATTGTGTGTTACAAAAAACCGAAATTGCTGTACCGCTTCGACGTTTTTCAAACTATTTCGAAGCTCTTCGGGAGAAAAACTTTTAAACGTAAAAGATGTGTATTTTCTCCGTCATTGTTTCGGTTTCAATTGAAATTAAGTAACCGGTTAATCTGTCAAAAACAAGACTATATGATCAAATTAAACGGTTTCATTGTAGAAAAAATACCAGGAAAGAAAATAAATTCACATTGTCGTACAAAGGACCTCGGCTCTGACAATGGGCTCCATTCATAAATATGTTACTTCTAGACAAACCACCGATGCCTTGATGTATAATAATATTCAAGCATGACGGGCAGGTTAAGTCTCAGTTCTCGGTGGTAGTGTTATACACATTGAACTCTGTCAATATTCTTTGTGCTAATTATCGGTTGACCGTGTACACTTGCAATGTGTAAAAAAAAAATGTGAAAAAAAACATTATCACCGTCTCGACTAGATTTTTTCCACAAGATAACCCCCTCGTGTTTAATAAAAGACAATATTGTATTATATTTGTATGTATATGTATTTTTTTTCAATTAAGCAGCTTTATACATATATATATCAAAGTAATTAAAACCACGTACCTATCCGATTTCATGGTTTCCGTTTACATTGTAACAACAATAATAATAATAATAATATAATATAATGATCAAAATTTCTCCTCCATAACATTCAACACTTCAAACAATCACATTTTTTTTTCACATGCAATAAAACAATGTCGCGATGAATCGTATTAGCTGTGTGATATATTGCAGGGTTTTTTTTTTTTGGTTATTTGAAAAAGATAAAAAATGTATGGTTACAAACCGGTATGTGACCGGTTTCTTGTGGTTATGGATTTGGATTAAGTAGTGATTAAGGAGACGCTCGTTTGCTTAGCCACTCTTTAACAGAGTGGCTAAACTTAACTTAACGTTCATAGGTAACTAAATTAAAAAATAATATAGTTAAAAAAAGTCGAGATTAGATTAGGTTTGTTGACTTGGATTTTACAGCTAAATTTTATGGTCTTCCCTTACTAAGGCATTTTTTTTACATTTTCTTAGTACACGCTAGATAATATATTTTTTATCTATTTTTCAGGTTTACAACTGCGCATGAAAATCCTAAGATATCCACACCTTTTAGGAAAGAAAGAGCAGAGATATAAAAATATTTTCTTAATAACAAAGGAAATTTGGTTAGGCTCAAAGTGAATATTTGTTCATCTTTGCGGTGCGTCTTGCTGGATTTTTAAGAGAGAAGAGTGAACCTAATTTACTTTTCACCTTTCTTGAGTATACTTTTGGCGAAACACTACTAACTTATAGATATTAGTCCATGTTATACTGCGAGTTCAGACAAAATATAGAAATAAATTACACAAAGCAATATTAAAAACAAATAAGTAACTATACACATCACTTTATGAACTTCAGACATTGACCTTGTTTAATAAGTGTTCTGCATCTCTGTACCGGCAGGTTGAGGTCAGAGTATCTAATAACAATAATATGTATTGCAATTTAATATTGTCGGTTTTGCTAAATAATGAGTACAAAATACGTTTATATGTGTATAGAAATGCAATTATGGTAAATAATTAAAATTACACTGTACAAAATAATTGTACCGTGTCTTAGACAAATAGCCGAGGTACTTTATTTTTTTTTTTTTGCTGCATTTCGCCTCCAAACTACCAAAATGGCTTATAAAACATTAATCAGAGTTTCCTGTTTTACCTTTTTTTTAGTAATTTCCCGAACCCGCATAGGGAAAAATGTATTTTTCTTTGACATTGTGTGTCCTCTAGCATTTTTTTCTTAGGCATTTATTCCTTGGATATTTTTGGGAATTTCACATAAACCATACAACGCAGTACAAGTGCTGTCGCCGAGAGAAAGACAAAAGGTAGGTAGCTGTTGTGCAATGGGTATAAGTCATCGAAAAACACACGGGAATCGACAGTATTGTGATAATTAGCACTTGTTTGTGGCGAAGAAATTGGCTCACCGCGGCCACAAGAAAGCAGACACACGCAATCACATAGTTTAATAACATAATATTTTATATAAGTGCATAATATTATTACATATTATTGTATACAGTGCCCCTTGAGTACGCATGAACCGTTGACAAATTATACCTCCTAAATTCCTATGTTATATATTATATACCTAGTGTATCCGTGTATGTTTTCCGGACTAATGAGATCAGCTGCTGATATCATCGTTCGGTGCACCACTTCCTGATCATAACCTTATTGTAAATGGAAATGTGCCTAATAATAATAATAAACCAATACAGTCAATACAGCCAATACTAATATTAAGAAATATGAACCAAGCTGTCTGCTCGACTTTCCTGTTTATTAATATTAAGAGGTTATAGGCAATCAGAAGGTTGAAAAAATAGACATTTAAAACAAATTTTTTTTTTTTAAACTGTTTTATAATGTTTTTTGGTTTGACATGTAATGCCAAGTTTTTACACTATGTTTGACTACTGTGACTATGATAACACAAATTGAGTTTATATTTTGATTTTTTTTTACATTTTTAGCTTTATAGAGTATTTTTAGGTACAATTACCTATCTATTATTTCCTAAAAAAATATGATTTACAAAATATTTCTGGGATATTGACTTTTTTACGGTATTTTGAAAACATACAAACATAATTTTTTACTGGGTAAAAGAATCAATGTATTTGAATGACTCGACGGTTTTAGCGGTTCTAGTTAAAAGCAACATGTCGGTGGCGGTTACCTACTTAAAAAAAAAAAAGTGGAATTTATTAAAATCCGCGTACAGCGTTATGAAAGTTATAGTACAAGTTTTAATGACAAAATAAAACCAACCGAACAAGTCGAAAGGGAATGTTTTTATCGGTCAACCGCATCGGTTGTCGTATGGAACTATCGAAAATGCAAATTATCAATATATCAAATTATATTATTACTGAACGATAAAATTGCAAAATATTTCAATGTGTCAATCGTTGGATTATGATCTCGTGTTTCACCTTCGCACAACACCGTTCAGTATTGTAGCAGCCATTGCCGCCAACATTGAATTGATTTTGATTCCAACGTAGCCAAACAAAAATAATGGCTAACGGTGTAAGATTGGAAGCGGTAAGACTAAAGCAAAGTACAGGGCAGCTATTAAAATATGGTAAAATGGGTTACAGAGGTTTGGAGGTGGAATCAAACCAAAGATTTCTCCAAGTACCTACGTAGACTACCTAGAGAAGTAGTGACGAATAGGCTTCACGCTGTTTTTTGTGCAATAAATCATACATACATAGTTTATAATGACTGCCTAGATCAACGGGTTCTGTTCAATTAGTACATTCAATAGCTGACCGAAGGTTCAAATAAAACGGTAACAACGGACGAGAGTCCATTTTTTATTAGGTCTGAGCAATTTTATTGATAGTGGATTCAACAACCCTTAGCCTTAGGTCGGTGGTGCGAATGCAAAGCAAGTAGAGAATAGTATAATGGAAAGCTGGAAAACTTGGAAAAGACCAAAGACCACAATAGGGCTCTCTATACTTATCTCGGGCAGACTGAGGTCCGCCGTGAGTCGTTTGTATTGTAATTGTTTTGGCAAAATATGCTAACAATAATTATTGACATTAGCAGTTACCGTGACGTGTCTCACCTCCATCCAGTGTGTTGTGTGCACCTATTGGCCGGTTTTGTATTCTCGCCCTCGGGCGGCGGTTTCGGGATTTATATAAATATAGTAATAAAAATATATATAATGTTATTATCTTTTTACACTCCCCCACAGCTGAACACCAGCACAACCGCGGCAGCGACGGCGGTTCACCTCTCGACGGGTTCTCCTTCGCCGGAGCGGCGGGATAGCCCTGCTGTATATTATTATTACGGATGGGTACAAACGCACACACACACACAATATATTAACTCTTACTGTGTATATATATATATTGTACACACATCTCTCTCTCTCTCCCTCGACTGGGTGTACCTATACTATCATTCCTTCCACTCTCTCGCCGGTTCAGAGAGCGGCGTCTCGGCGTGTGTGTGTGTGGTGGAAGAGGCGACCGACCACGGGCAAACGGCGCGGCAGTTACTCGACGCCGACCGCGGTTGTCGCACACATCATCGACGACACAGTACCGACCGTTCCGTCTCGCTCGCACCACGTCCGTTTAAAAGCGTTATATTATTTTTTTACATATATACATACATACACACTTTAATTGTACATCACGTACACACTCGTATATATAGGTATATAAATTATTTATCGGTTAACCAGCCGACGGGTTCGCCGCCGCCGCCGCCGTCATCGTTCGAGTCGCAACCGCTCACTGTTATTTTGGGGACGGCATGAGTTCCGTTGCCCGGCCGCGTCGCCAACACGTTACTCACCGCCGGCCGCTCTAACAGACAGTCGGTCCGCGCCGCCGCCGCCGTCCGAAACAACAACACCCGCACAACCCGAGACCGTTTGGGCGCCCCAAGTGCAGTTTATTATTTTTTTTTTTGTATATTCGACAGCAGCCGCGAAAAGGAAAGCAGCCGAAAAGGAAATCTAATCTAAAAAAAAAATTTTAACAAAAATCGCTGTAGATATTGAAAAAAAATTCACCCTCCCCCCTCCGCCACCGCCCTCCGAGTGCGACTGGTTTTATTTAATTTTTTTTTATAAAATTTCTATTTTTTTATTTATTTAATTCTTCGCGAAAATCGTTCAATTTAGTTTTCGTTTTTTTTTTAAATTCAACTCTTTTTTTTTAAACGTTTTTAAAAATATAATCATAAATTATTATTATAACAATAATAATAACAAAATTTGCTGTGCGAGACTATCTACACACCGATAACCGACACGGCTGGTTTTTCGGTTCGATCTTGACAACGCACTTGGGTAAATATTTTTATTTTACTACTCCCTTATTTATTTATTTTTTGATAATCGCACAGAAATATGGAAAATAAAATTGAGGTATATTTATCATCCGTTAGGCGCACCCCTGATGTAGTAATAATAATAATTGACAATTATTTAGTTGGCAATATTGTTTCTAGTAGGATGCAACAAGTGTCAAACTGTCTCCACGTTAGAGTAGTCTAAATAGGGGTAGGTCGTGTACTGGACGTTTCACCGCGCGGGCGCACTTGCCAGAGTCTTATTATTATTATTTTTTTTTTTACAAATTCTTATCGTATAACTATAATGGTGCTTTTGGCAAGCTAGTCGTCGCCGTTAAACGGTATTGGGTAAAAAAAAAGCGTATAAAAAACGACAAATATATATATACCTATATTTTTTTAATAGCCCAACCGGATCCCGAAAAAATCCGTAACGAACGCAACACGTATTAGGTCATTTTTTGTATATATATTTTTTTTTTTTACATCCGTTGAAAATCATATTTTGTCTTGTCTAGTCTGTGTGTATTATAATAAAATCCATATACATATCAGCTATGACGACAAGCAGTTTTCCCGTGACTACACGTTGACCGCGTTTACAGCACCCTTTTGTCTTTTCCACTCTCTCTATCTCTCACACACACTCCTTGGCTGTGTATAGTATGATAATTGTTGGCTTTTTGACGTTTTTTTTAAACACCTGGCTAGTTTAATGTGGCGGTTGTTAAGCAAAAACCCTAAAAAAAAAATCGTTGCGCAGTGTAGCCGTGACAGATTTTTTTTTTTTTTTAAATATTCTTTCAAATTACCCGTCGCCTCCGACCACCGAACAGTCTATTGGTTTATTATTATTATTTTATTGATCGCAATTTTTTTTTAATTTCATTATAATATATGTATATTGTAGGGTTAGAGTGAGCGATAACGCCGGTTTATCTGTGTACTCAATAATAGTAATAATACCGCCGGGACGTTATCGTCGTCTCGTGTAAAACGTTCTTATTATAATAAATAATAATATTAAAATATATATGTATAATAGTGAAACGAATAATAATTAGTGTCAAAGGAATTCGTTCGGGTGACGACGACAACGACACACACACATTAAAAAAGTAGTGAAAAAAAAAATGGTAAAATTAAAAAAAAGAGTTGATGAATTTCGGGGCCGTTCTTCTCCGCACGACGTATACACCTATTTTACACACACACACACACACACTTTATTTATGCGGTTTTTTTTCGATTATTATTATTTGCTAAACAACAAAAGAACAGCCACACACGGTTCCGATATTGTCTAAACCCACAGCCACTGCTATACGGATCAGCAGTGGGTATCCTCCGGGTTTCCTGGCAATTTTTTTCACATATTATTTCTCGCCCAGTCCATTGTAATGTACGATTTTTTTTTATTCTCTCCGTTTGACTTTGACACGATACGCTTTCACTCGGGTCGTCACTTTGAGGTTCATTATGATCACATTATTATTTTATATTGTTATAAAATAACCTGCACCGGGCGCATATTATAGCTGTTTATTATACACACACCCCGGGTCGCTGTTAATGTGCGTCATTATCATTTATTGATTTCGCCAAAAACCCAGACGATTAACAGCTCTCTGTGTACTGCTGCTGCTGCTATATCGACACACCGGTCGTTCCACTTCACTTTCTGTAATTAACAAACGCATTGTGCCGGGTTTCCACACACACAAATACCTCGTCTGGAGTAGTGGCCTACATGTATTATTTTTAGGGGGGGAAGGGTTAGATAGTTAGTACTTGGCTTTGTACTTGGACGTAAGTACCCACACGTTTAAAATATTGGAGTTTGTGGTTTGTTCGTTTGGAAGGGTCGACGATGATCGATTGTGCACCCGTCTGAGACAGTGAGAGAGAAGAGACTTGAACGCTAGCCACATCAGAAGACTGGTACGGGTAACTTGAATTTGGCGCTTTTCAAAATACCCACGTTTGTTCTATGGTGAGAGAGTTTGAACTGAAAACAAAATATGCATTTGACATTTCTGTTGGAAACCTCGTTTTTGAGCAAAAGCCGATTTCTCCACACACGGCAGCAGCTTAATGTTGGTATATTATATACCAACTATGTGTGTGACATCTGGCTACACACCGGCTGATCAATAACAGCTATAGTAATAGGTATGATTTTGTGTTTTGCACACAACGGCCTCGTCATCGTGCATATTCATTAGGGTTAGGTATGTGTGTTGTGTATAGGCTCGGAATACGTTAACAGTCGCGTCGTTTGTTTGTCCTAGACGTGTCCAAGTCAAAAGGTCGAATGCTTTAAACGTCTTAATAATATACCCGCAATAGTAGGTACACCTAACCGTGTGTGTAATTGATCTGTTTAACTTTCTATGCATTGCTCGCTGTAAAACAACAAACCGGGAAGTTTTCCATACAGAAGCAAGCACCGATTGTTTGTTGGCTCGACAAGTGTATGATTATACTGTTATATAATTGTGTTTTTAGAAACGATTTCGTCTGAGAAACAAGTTACACGGGCCCTATTTAAGTTGTGTTGTGCCAAAGTTCACTACACTGTCTTCGGTTAGAGAACTACATTGCTATGGTGTGTAATTATAGAGAAATATGTGCCACGCGCTAAACCGCTGTCGGGATAGGTTAAACCTACATATTAATATTTTTTTAATTAATCAATTTGTTTACTATGTGGGTAACGTTCTTCGTTGGTGTCTCAATGTCGGAAAACATTTACCCGATAATTAGGTAAACACTAAGGTTCGACGGGTCAAAGGTGTTTGTAATCGATTCAATTAAAAAAAAAATGCATCCCGAACGAGCTTTGCACTTTAATCTCCGTTGCACCGAGATGAAAAATATGCAAAAATTAATTTTATTCCGAAATCGGTTACTTAAGCATAGCATTGAGAGTCTGTTTACACATAAAAACAAACATTATACAAATTCATTACCGCTTTCAAAGTCTATACTGTTATCATGGCCGTATCAGGAAATATGCATAACTCATATTATATATTCCTCGGTTGTCGCCGTTTATTAGTGAAAATATTAATTCGGTAAAAATTTAATACCTCTCTGCGGTAATCTTATCTTTGCAGTGGTCGGATCATAACAGCTATTACAAATTATAATATTATGGTTTATGTACAACAACAATAACTAACGAGGACATATTTGTTAAAAAAAAAAAATAAAAACTACAATAGATATCTGCGCACGATTAGAAGAATATAATATTATTATTATTATTATCGATAAAAGCCGAGCACTCTTCGCAAACGAGACAGTAATAATTTTTCTTATGCACATATTTTTTGCACATAATAATATTGCTAATGAGTGTATGGATAGTGTGTGCCTTCGGGCCGTCGTGGGTACAAAGGCAATTATAAACACCGTAACGCCGTTTTGTTGCGGAATTCTAGTAGGTATTACCTATATTATTATTATTATTATTATTATTACTGCGGTACCGATATTGGCATTCGACCAATATGAAAGACAAAAACCATAACACGACTAGAAGAAAAGCGGTTAGTAAACGCTAATGTAAACGAACTCGTTTGGGACGTCGCGAACCTCAGTCAACGTTGGCAGACCAGAATACTATATTATATTAGCCGTATAAACGATATCCTTGGAAACGTTGGCACTGATAATATTGTCACACAAAAACGTTTTGCCCGAGAATAAGCGATCAAAAAATAATTGGACCGTTTCGTTTTTTTTAATATTACTTTTATTGTATTTTGCAGTTAAAAAAAAAAAATAAAACGCTTGCCAAGTCGGGGCGGGGTCGGCAATATTTTGTTAATATTTTGTAATTAATTCAAATAGTATAAAAAATTGTATGTGTCTCATCTTCCAATCGGTGTTCATGATTTATCATACTTGCATAATGTATACATATAGGTACTAAATTGTTTTATATTGGCAGAGCGTGTTCACCTACGGAGAGACTTGTGCCGACGTTTCACAAACGGTATGGGTCACTATACTTTCAAAAAGCAAAAACGGTTAGCCAACCCGTCGTTGCTTATCGACGATGCGCGGTTAAGTATAATAATAATAATATAATGGTGTGCCTATATGCACGGGTACGTGTCCGGCAAACCGATTAATGTCCTCATAACAAAACCAATGGGGGTCACTGGGACGGTATTGAAACAAAAAAACAATTTCACTAGTATTAAATTAAGATTTAGAGCTATCGAGCATTGGAGCCTTGTAAAACTATATCACCTCCTGGCGCGAATCTTGGACGGGGGGGAAGGAGCTATTTTTTAAAAATCAAGGGAGGTTTCAAGCCCCTACTCGCCCGCCTTTGCCCGATATAAAAAAATCTTAAAGCGTAGGACCTAGTTTGGGAAATCGGGCGCTGACAACAGCTGGGGCTGGCCGGTTCAGACACACGAGTATTTTCGTCATTAATATTCATACAATATCATGTTGTTGTATGTATATTTTTTTTCTCGAATAATAAAGATGATACGTGACGTTTGGAATTGGTCGACGGGTTACACAATATTTGGACGGAGCTCGTTGTACCCAGGATGTCCAATGTAACGCGAATTAGCCTTTTAAATGACTGCTACGTGACAGCCTCGGCAGCGCTTTGTCATAGCAACTGTGTGTGTGTTTATTCATTCTATTTTTTTAGAAGATTATTCAAACGACAGCTCACACAGCCACGGCAAAGGATCGAGTGTATCAAGTTATAATATAAGTTTGCACGATGCGGTCTGGTTGACTTTCGGAGGAGTTTTGTATAGGCAATATTTAAGGGGGAAAAAGAGTTTTTTTGATCAATTTCACTACCGTGTCAATTAATTTCCGGAAGCTTCGAAGTATTGTTTTTAATTAAAATGATTTTTTCTACGAGTAAAATCCATTTCTGTTTGTTTTAGACCATAAATCAAAACAAACCGTTTGCAAAGATAAACTGCGTTCTGCTTATTTGATATTCCCACGAAT